TCATACACGATCGTACTTTAGTCTTGCACGACTATGCATCAACCCGAAGCAAGGTCGTGCAAGTCAATATGCATGATTGTGTTTAGTCTTCCAGTATTGGCTTGCTAGTTGCTCGAGATCTGGGTGTGCTTTATCCAAATTAGCGTGTTTTTCTTAGGTTTGAGCCCAAGACTTTCATGAGTTCGTTGTATCATTAGATATGCTTAACTACAGCAAATAACATATTAATTAGTGTAAAAACATATTCAAATAAAAATTAAATACGTATAAACATGCTAAAAAAGTGTGTCAAAATACAGATTTATCAAGCACGCTTAAAAACAAGAATTTTTCTCATTTCTTTTTCTTTGGTATTCCTATATTTTGCTTTTCTATTTTGAATGAATTTGATTTTCTTTAGAAATGATTTCTATGTTTATTTTATTATGAGTAGTTAAATCCATAGATAGGGCTATGGTAGATCCTTTGCATGCTTTATGTGATTTTTACATTTAATCACAATTGTGATTTCCCTTATTGATTGATTTTCATCCTAGTAAGTTTATATTTATATATTAAGAATTTACCACTCTTAATATATCATAATTGATTGTATTGTTGGCTATTAAACCACATGTAGTTAATGGATCTATAAGATAAAACAAGACAAAGAATTAAGTGGACCAAACTTAAAATTTCTCTTTCAATTGTATTAAATTATTAAACTCATAGGTTCTTATGCTTTCCTTTTCTCTTTGTCTTACATAACCATTGAGAGTAATAACTTATGAAAAAGAATATTAATATTGTATGACCACTGAGTATTAATAGATATAGTATGAATGATTAACAGCTATAAGAAAACTAGAATGAGAATTAACTAAAGTGAACATAAAGAGATATAAAGATGAAATCACAAGCCCTAGATTTATGTCTAATAATTTTTTTTTTTGTTAAAAGTTGTGTTGTTTTCTTTACTATTTATTTACTCTTTTTTTTTACTATGCATTATTTAAATTAAAATAATTAAGTGGCAATAATCTTGTTAATTAAAAATAATATATATGTGATAATATTTTAGAAACTCAATTTGAACACCGTTTCTATTACAATGGATACATATAACGACAAGCAATCCTACTTTTAGAAGAATGAATAAAATATCAACGTTAATATTTTTTTCATAATTTTGTAACATGTAGATATGCCTAGATATATTTTTAACCGTAGTAAAAAATAATTATTTTTAGTATTTTATTAACTATAATTATTAGTTTTTGATTATTATGTATTTACCAAATCAATAAATTTTATCAATAAATATATATGATCTTAAAACATATATAATCTTTGACTTAAGTATGAGTTTTCAGTATTTTTAGAATTCATGATTTTTCTACCTCATGGCTCATTTTTAATCTTTCTAAGACAAGTTCAAATTTTATTTTTTTTGTTAAAAATATACATTTAATCTCTATATGATTAATATTTATTTATAAATTAGTCTTTATACTTAAACAAAATTTATATTTTAGTTTATGTATGAGTATCCTTCTACGTTTTAATTCTATTATAACATTGTTTATAATGTTATAATAAATTTATTCAAGGACCAAAATCTAAATGATTAAAACTAAAACGTAACAAATTGTATAATTTAATAAATTTGTAAAAATAAATAAAAATTTTACTTCTCACTAATATCTAAAACTTTCTAAAAAAAAAATAAGTTATAAAATGCTCCCAAGGATTTCCGTGTGCACTGCCCACAATTCGTGTATTTCCATGGAAATGTAAAACAATCGTATATTTATAGCACCAGGTTTCTGTAATCCTATTCAAATACATAGCAATAATGTCAAAACCTTTCATTTTAAAATTATTTAGATTAAGGTTGTGTTTGGATAGAAAAAAATTTAAATTTTTGAAAAATATGAAATTAATAATGAGGATGAGTTAAGTGAAAGTAAAGTATAAGATGAGTTATTATTGATAATTACAGAAAATTAAACATAACAAATGAGTTGTTTAAATTATCTCTAAAACATATCATTTTAAATTCTCTCTATTTGATATGGAATTTAACAAATTAAAAAATATAGAAAATTTTAAAAAATATAGAGTTTGTGAGCAGCTTTTGCATAACTTTCTTGCAACATGGATATCAATGGTGCGTCTTTTCTCTCTCTCTTTTCCTTGTACGTATAATTGCTACTCTGTTTTTTTTTAGTGTACAATTAGATGGAATTTAATTTAAATACTTATTCAATAATTTTTATTTAAACGATAATTTATATTATAAATTTAATAATAAATTTTATTAAAATATAGTAAAAGTAACTTATTTTAATAAGTTATATATAGAACTTGGAAATCAAGTGAAATGAAATTATGCACGTTAAAAGTTATTTCTATAAATTATTCATAAGTAATTGAGGAAAGGGAAGGGTAGTGCAAAGGGAGTGTAGTGTGACAAACAAAAAAAAAAAGAAGAAAAATTATAGAGATTTATTGGAGTTGTGTTTACAATGAAAATTATATATTGTAAATAAATAAATCTAAGAGTAATTTAGAGACTATTTTTAAGGTTCTTTAAAGTATGTTTTTTTACGTAATAGTGAGATAAACGTCGTTAAGTAGAGTATTAAGCAAAAATGGTAGATAATGATCACGTAAAACTAAATTGAACGCAAAGTTTTACACAAATGTACTGAACAAAAATGAAATTACAAGAAAAAATGTAGTAGAAACTGAAAATAAAGAACATGAATGTAAATTTGCAAAACAGTAAACTTACGATTCTTCATAATGAACAACAACAACCGTGAGTCTCTTGATAGCTGGTGTTTGACTTAGTGTAGAGTTTCAGTGCGTAGAGAGTTTGGGTGCAGGTGTATAATACAAAAAGTCATTCTCTAGAATATGAAGCTTCGTAATATTTATAAGCAAATGGACCATCACCATTCTCCTCTTTTAACGGACATTTCTTAGTAACTATCTTCTACACTTGCTTGCCTTTAATTGCTGCTGTCCAGTATCCACGACTGTTTCTGATCGTGTTGACAATTATGACTTTTTCCATAACTGCTGTCGTCCATGATCTTTCTTCTTGTCTCAAACCTTCATCTGATAGTAATTGTTGATAATAGCTTTGAGCCTTGTAATTCTTTTGATATCACTTTCTGAGCCTTATCATGTCTCTTGGAATTAGAATAATTCTCTACTCAACTCTCTTGCAACCAGTTTTGGAGGAATTCTGGGAACTTATTCAGTATTGTGGACTTAGAATAGTTTCCTTGTTCGTCCTTATTTTCAACCAATTTTGAGGAAAATCTGGTAGGTCATTTAGTCTTATGGACTTAGAATAATTTCTTTGTCAGTTTTTACTTTTTGACCAATTCTTTATCACTTAGTCTTTATGTTTTTTACTAGTTTTGGTTATTTTCTGTTTAAAGACTGGAAAATCCTCAGAAACTCCTTGAAATGCCACCATCTTTTCAACCAAAAATGGATCTTTTCATGTTTTGTCACAAATGCTTGAAATATGATTTTTTGGATGAGACTTTTTGCGATCCTCCAAATCTCTTCGAAATGCAATCTTCTGTTCGACAAAGAATAAGGCTCTTATAATTCTCCAAAATATCTCTATATGTAGCTTTCAACAAAGAATAAGGCTCTTCTACCAACCTTCATAGAAATGAGTTGAAAGAAAGTTCGTTCGACAAATTTTTGACAAGAGACCTATGATTCTCTTCGATTTTTTAGTTGAAGGCTATGTTTGCATCACTGAACTTTGAGATATATTTTTTATTGAAAGAACGTAGTTTATTTCCTACAACGAAAGTCTGGTAGAGCACTTTATAACTTAAAATGGTTTTCCTTCTCCAAACAAGTTATTACGTACAAAAGTGTAATTTTGAAATAAAAATTATAAAAAAATAAGTGGTAAATGTAGTAGAATAGGTGGTGTTAATAACAACCACATGTGAAGCTTAGGAGAAATTTCTAGGAGTTTTCCAATGGGTTCGTGGTCTAGAGTACAACTTGGGTCTTTGTTGAATCCTGTGGAATTGCCTTCGGTCAAGGTTCATAATTTTGATCGACCCAAAGAAAAAGGATCATAATTTTGAGTCTCTTTCATTTTTCAATTTTGATGTGCGTGAGTGTTGCATCTTATTTAGGTAATTTGAATTCAACTTTATTCTTTTTCTGCTTTTGGGTTAAATTAAAACGAATTTTGATTTGTATTTACTAATAAATAAAGTTGATGGTATTTTTTTTTTCCTATAATCTAGATCGTGTGTAATTTTGGTATTTCTTCTACTTAAAACTCCGACATTTTTATTTTCTATTAAAAATTTTGGAAACTTTGTAATGAAATTTTAACATGAAATAATTTTAAAAATAAAAAATTAATACAAATTTGATAAAATTTAAAAGATTTTATAAGATTTAGAATTAGAATTTGAAGTAGAGCCAGCAAAATATGCTCACTCAACCAGGTTAGCCAGACTTAGCAGATAAAATACAAAGTTTCAACTTTAAATAAATTAGATTCAGACTTTCTTAGTCCGATTCAACATTCAAGTTTAATATAATTTAACTATGTAAAAATTCATAAAATTTGAACTTTATCCATTTTGAATACTATTTTTTCAAACACAAATTATATCTGAACTTTTTCTGTCCGGCTCATTAGAGCATCAGTCTAAAGGATTAAGTAACTCATTTTGACTGGTCTAGTTTAAAGAAAAAAAATAGTTATTTGTTTATATTTTTGTAAAATTTAATATTTTGATTCATTAATTTTAAATAAAAAATAACTTAATGAATTCAATATATAAAATTTTGAAGTTAAAAATGATAATTTTTTATATTTTTATAAACAAAATTGATGGAAGAAAAAAATTAGTTAAAATTTTTTTTAAAAATCAAAATTACATACAGTGAAAACTAAACACATCAAAATTGTGCCTGGATGAATCCAAGTCTTAGACGCTTCCTCTCATTCCAAGTCTTCTTATATGCAATCCCAACACATCATCTATGGAAAAGCCATGTCCACTCCCACCAATCTCATTGATTTCTTGGTGAACCAAAGCAACGGTGTAAAGGGTCTTGCTGAGTTGAACCTTCCAAATGTTCCTCCCCAATACATCCAACCTCTTGAGGCAAGATTACACAGCACCAAAATTGTCCCTCATGAATCAATACCCATCATTGATTTCACAAACTGGGATGACCCAGATGTCCAAGACTCAATTTTTGATGCTGCATCCAAGTGGGGTTTCTTCCAAATCGTGAATCATGGGATACCCATTAAGGTCTTTGATGATCTAAAAGCTGCTGTGCACAGGTTCTTTGAATTGCCAGCTGAGGAGAAGAAGAATCTCAAAGAGAACTCGCCCCCTGATGTTGTTAGGTTGGCCACTAGTTTTAGCCCTCATGCTGAGTCCGTGTTGGAGTGGAAGGATTATCTGCAACTTGTGTACGCTTCTGAGGAGAAAATTCATGCGCATTGGCCTGCTATATTGAAGTAAGTGATAGTTCTCATCACCTAAGATTTGCTTTGTGAATAACTTTATTTTATTAAATTCTATGGTATGTAAAATGTAGTTATGTACTCCAGAACTGTAATAGTTAAGATTTATAACAGATTGCATTTTCTTACTTGGGAATGGGACCTTATTTCAAATACTGGAGAGCAGTGGAGAAAGAATGTTTTAATTTTAGTTTTGTGCAAATTTTTAGGCAACAGAAAGGCAAGTGTAAAAAACGAAAATCGGATTTTTCCTTTAATCAAAGGGGTACTCGCAAACCGATTGTGAGATTGTAAAATTATGTGCCTATTGCGGGAAAAATTTGTGGTAGACTATAAACTTCCTACATCATTTAGTTTTTCTTTTGGTCCTTTGTTACGTGAAAATTCCAAATGTAGCAGCTTACTCTATATAAAATTATTCAAAAGGGTCTTCAGTGATATAAATGCTTGCTTTTCCTTTTGAATATCTGATAATTGATATTAATATCCGTCTTCATTGACTATACTTCTTTTAGGGATCAAGCACTGCAATATATGAAATTTTCTGAAACCTTAGTCAGGAAATTGTTGAAGGTGCTTCTGAAGAAACTGAATGTAAAAGAGTTAGACAAAACAAGAGAACACACTTTAATGGGTGCAATGATATTGGGTCTTAATTACTACCCTACTTGCCCTGAGCCTGAAGTTGTAGCAGGGGTAGGTCCTCATTCTGATATATCATCAGTTACTGTCCTTCTGCAAGATGATATTGGTGGGCTTTATGTAAGAGACGGTGATGGTGATAATTGGACCTATGTTCCTCCTGTTGAGGAAGCGCTGGTAATCAACATTGGAGATGTGTTACAGATAATGAGCAATGGAAGATACAAAAGCATAGAGCATCGAGTGGTTGCTAATAGAAGCAAGACCAGGATTTCCATTCCTATCTTTGTCAACCCAGCACCTGATGCTATTATTGGTCCTTTGCCAGAAGTGTTGGAGAATGGAGATAAACCAAAATATAGCCAAGTTGTATACTCTGACTATTTCAAATATTTCTTCAGCAAGCCTCATGATGGGAAGAAAACTGTTGAATTTGCCATGATATGATTTGCACTTGTGGTTGGCATTATTTAAAAATGTGCTTGAAGTTCTTTTCTTTTGGATTACGAAGCAGGAAAACGTATATCACACTGATCTTTCCTTAACTGCATTCTTGCATGCTATATTGAATAAAAAAATGCAGTTACTTGTACTCAGGCAGAAAGAGGATTACTTAAATTATAAAATAATTTTATTGTAATGACCAGCCGTGGCAACTTTTCAATTTCAATAAACATTGTGGATGGTTTTTACACTAAGAAGATGTTGACAAACATTTACTATGGCGAGGAAGAAAATATATAAATCCTTTAGGGCTAGTAGTGTTACAGAAGCCTCATGATAAGATTCCCAACATTTGACTTAGTTTTTACTTCTTATGATTTTATGAAATTAAGAAATTGGATCAACAAAAAGTTTACAATTATTTTCAACAACTTCTGAAAAATAGAGGTCGAGAATACTATCTTTTTAATGTTTAATACTAATATTGGGTTAAGAAAAGGATACAATTTATATGCAAAACTACATGTATCGTTGGTGTTTCTTTGATCATAATTAGAATTTTATCTCAATAATATATGCTGACCTTTAATATTAATGTACTAGTTTTGTTATTAATTATACAGATTATCGAGATAAAATTCTAATTATAATTGAAGAACTCTAACGGGACTTCTAATACACTGAAAGTTTTGTCCGTAAAAATATTAGTTGAGTTGTGCATAAATATCTCTGCTAATTGTTTAGAATTTTTTTTCCAGCGTTACATGCAAGAAGATGGCAAGAGAAGAAGGGGATTGAAGAATGGTGAGAGTGGCCTAAGAGTCAAGGGAGATGTTGTGATAAACTATATTAAGAGAGTGGCCTAAGAATGGGGTATACAAAAGCTGCTGCTTTGATAAACCAAACTCAACGAGACATCCAGTAGACTTGCGAACCAGACAAGATTCCATCATCTTAATGTCTCCAGACGTTGGGTTACAAGCTAGCGTCACATAGCTCAGCAAGGTTCATACTTCCTTGAAGGTTTATAAAAACTATCATATTGATTGAATTGTCCAATGTGGGACTTAACAAAGTGTCATCATGCTGACTTGGGTAGCGCCAACTTGTCACTCAAGTAAGGGCCCCAAGATGAAGGAACACAGCGTGGCTTTGCTAGGTTGGGTTAGAAGTTGTAACAGTGTTATGGCTCGAGCGAAGGCCCAGGCCTCATGGTTTCCTAGACTTTGAGCGATAACCTCTGGCTCTTAATAGTGGAGGATAACAGGTTGCCGCACGCTATATTGCAGCCACAATTATGAATTCCACTGTGTTCTAATCATTTTTCCATATCTATAATAGCATTTTCCACTGTATACTGACATGATATATTGCTTGAGACTTTGAATTTCTTTTGCAAAGTGTGTTTGAGGTTTTGTTAATTATTTTATATTTTAAATGCTATTGTTTTTGGCTGCTGCTCCTCTTTGCCTTTTGTATGCAATTAAGGTTAATGCCTTAACTGAGGTTTCATTTTTTCCCATGGCAATTGAGAAAATACAAAATCTATAATTTACACATGTACAGATGGACAAGTATCTTTGGTATCATGTAATATTTGTAATGCTCATAATATTGAAATTTTCAATGACAGGGCCCAAACAAAGACCAATGTTATTGTATGTTATCGTGAAGACAAAAACACAATCCAGGTGAGACAAAACATTTGATAGTATATAGTGTTGTGCGAAAATGGTGAAGCTGAGTGAAAACCAAAAAGAATTTTGGTCCGAGGACATTGGACCACCGTAGTATTGTTAAGCCCCCGCTTGAGTTATGAGCTCGCGCTACTTAGCTCGGCAGCATTCTTGGTTCATCAAAGGTATATAAACACTTTACATGTTATTGAATTATCCAATGTGGGATCCAAGGTTAACCTTTAATGCAGCAAAATTCTTTCGGTGCTATTTTTATTAACATTTAACAATAATTCAACATATTTAGATATTTACAAAGAGTTATAAAATATAGTTTTATAAAAATCTAATTTAGTATAGAATAAGTAAAGATAAAATATTTGTTTCTTTATGTGTAAAGAGTGTAGCTATCTGTGCTTAGTTCCATTGAAATATCTAACTATCAAATGTTATAATTATACTTTAAATTATTATTTACAACAAGATTTATCAAAATACTATAAACTCCAAATGAAAACTTAATTATAATTATTATATTCATCAAAATTAATTAGATTCTATTAAAACACTTTTTTTTTCTTACAAATCACTGCGAGTATAATCCTAAGAATGATTCATTTTCTTTTAACTCTTCATTATTTAAAAATGTTTGTAAGGGTGAGTATTTTTCGTCCCACTAAATTTTTATTTTCTTTTTTTATAATTCAATCAAAGTAATGTAGGAAATATTTTTTAATACATTATGCATCAAAATAGAAATAATTTATTTTTACAATATTTACCAAACAAAAATAATCCATAGACATCATTTAATACAATATGCACTAACATAATACCAACTCATATTTTGTTAACAAGTGTTATAAGAGATCAAATAGATTATCAATATTGTCAAACATACAATATGTTTATATCATTTCATGCATTCTCACATAGAGTACGTGCATTATAACCATATTGATTAATGCATTATAATACATGCATCATAATTACACTTGTCGATATATTACAACACTTGTATTATAATCACACAAATCAATCCATTATGTCACTTATTTCAAACGCACATCTGATAATTTCAATAAAGTAGGGATGTTATAACTATAATAAAATACATGAAATATTTAAGTTTAATTATAGCTATTAAATCGAGGGCAATATGCAAACTTAACAACGAATACATAGACCATGAAAAAAAATGGTGGAAAAAATTAAATTTTCTAGTAGTGTTAAGCATGACATATGTATTCTTGTTATTTAATTACTTTTAATTTTTCTAAATTGAGATATTACAATAAAGTTCTTTAAATTTTATTTTTAAATTTTTAATAAAAATAACATTTTATTAATACAATATTTTGAGACGATTGTAAATTAAGGTTTGTGTGTCAATAGTAATCGGTATAGGTTAATTTGTGTAAAATCAAGGCACTATTCTTATGATTTTGTTGAGGGTTTAAATCATTTTATATTTATAATACTATTATTTCTTGCTATTATTTCTTTTTCCACCAAAAACATAATGGCTTGATTAAGGGTTTCTCTTATACGCATGATATTATTTTGTTATTGTACGTTCTTGGTCCATCTAGCAAATGTGGTGTGTTTGAGGTTTTGTTAATTATTTTATATTTTGAATGCTATTGTTTTTGGCTGCTCCTCTTTGCCTTTTGTTTTTCGATTTATTTTTGTGGTTATGTTAGGGATTTTCATCCATATTATTTGGTATTGCAGTTATGTTTTCCTTTTTCTCATTTTTTCATATGACAATTAATGTTAATGTCTTAACTGAGGTAATTTGAAAAGTTAACTAACTTGATTTTCTATGACAAGGCCCAAACAAAGACCAATATTATTGTATGCAATAATGCTATTCAAACATCTAAATTTGGTATCTATACCTAACACCGTATAATAACAGTTTCCAAATACAAGGTTGCATATTAGTTATTCTATACACGTGAACATACTACGTAAACAAAAAGTTAACCAAAGGTTGCATATTAGTTATTCTTCTTCTTCCTCCTCTCCTGCGGCCTACTCCTGGATATTTGGTATTTGGGTATTGTCCCTCATTTGAGCAATTTACTGTATCACTTCATCTCTCCCACTTCTCCTCTCACATTTACACGAGAAATATCAAGTTCTTTAATCCCACCATGTTCTTCTTCTGCTAAAACAACATCTTTGTCATGTTATTTGTTATTCACATTACTTTCGTCCTACACTCTATGTTATTGTGTGTGAGTTTGCTCTCTCACTTCTCATCTAAGTGATACACGAGTCCTATCAAAGGTGGTGTAATACAAATCAGAAACCCAGGGTCTTGCATTTAAGCTGAATAGTTTTTGGTAAGTGGGTCTTTGACAAAGCTCATGCCCATGACCCTCTATTTTATAAAGTTTAATTTTTTTTTTGTTTCTATTTTGTGTGTTTTTGCTTTCTCAAGGATAATGATTCCTAACCCTTAGTTGATCAATCGGAATCTCTTCCTTAATTAATACCTCTAGGTTGCATTAAGTTCATTATGAATTTCATAATTAGGGTTAATCCTAATATAGAAAACTCACGTCTTTCTATCTCTAGAAATACATTCAAGTCTTTTTAATTGAGCAATGTTACTTTCATGCAGGAATTTTACTCAAATTCAAACAAGAAAACAAGATAGAAGAAAATTGATACTACTTAATTAAACCCAAGAGAAAAAAACATAAAATAACATTAGAAGAATTCCAGAAAATTTAGTCAATTAGGATTCATTACGTCTAGATATTCAAAGGAAAGTTAGAACCTAAACATCTTGAAACTAAAATTACAAAAGAGATGAATTAAAACGCTTGATCCCATCCTCCTGCCGTCTCTGAGTCTTTCTTCTCCTTAAAACTAGCCTCCTAGATTTCTGTGCCAAGTTTCCTTTTATATGAGTGGCCCAAGGGCTCATCTTCTCGCAGAAATTTAAATTTTAACGTATGTTAAAAGTACACGGCTATGTACTTTGGCCGTGTACATCTCTGGTTTCTAAAAGACGTCCTTCAAAGCTTTCCATAAAAGTACATGCTTATGTATATGGCCATGTACTTTGGCCGTGTACATCCCTGGTCTCTAATAATTGCACTTCACAGTTTTCTTGAAAAGTACACACGGCCGTGTACATCTCTGGTTTTGATGATATACTTCAATTGATGCGACCAGTGAGATACACGCTCATATACATGGGCATGTACTTGCCCGTGTATATCTCTGGCTTCATTGTGTTTTAATTTCCGATATCTTTTAAAGCTTTTACTTCTTGATCCTTTTTTCTGAAATATAAATAAAAATAAAATTGATAATAGTAAATTTTTTCAATGAATAGCTTAAAACTCTCAATTATCATTCATGAATTATAATGTATGATCAAGTATAGAAAGCATTTATCACCCACGCTGATCAATTGGATTTTTATAACATTATTTCCTCTCATTCCTAGCTCATTAATCCTCTTTTGTGCCTAATTGGTTGAATTGGATCATTTTATGATGTTTGAATTTATTTGGGCTTTATTTAACTTTTCCAGTATTTGGCAAATTCTGATACTATTTTGGTTTCTGGACCATATCTTGAGTTGTATAACTCATTTCATTATGATTCTTGATTTGTAGGAAAGTTAAGAGAAAGGTACACAATTCCTATGAGAGGTCAGAAATCAATTTCGATGATAAGAAGCTGAAATTGGGCCCGGAAGAAGTCGTAACGCTGCAGTCCCAGATCCTGAGTAAGGTGCAGTATTTGGGCCATATCTCAGTCCACAGATGTCCGATTAAGCCCATTCTAGTGGTGTTTTGAAGCTAACATCCAAGGCTACAATTGTCCTTCAGGCCACGAACCAAAAAGAGGCTGTTTTCATAGCCAAAAAAATGGAAAAAAGTGACGAACGGAATTTTTGAATTTTAAATTTTGAATTTTAAGTTGTTTTTGGCTCCTCTCCTCTCCGCTTCTCTTCTCTCTCTCTTTTTTTCTCTTCCGTTTTTACTTTTAGTTTTCCTCCATTAATGGAGGCTTAGACTTTCATCTAGTCTAAGGATTGAAAAAGGATTGAGACACTCTTGAGGATCGGTTTCGCAATTTATTCAACAACAAATTTGGTTTCATCTCTTTCTTCTTTCTCCTTTTGCTAATTATGATTTCAAATTGAAGTTCTTCGTTTGGATTGATAATTTTGCAGTTGTTTGATTATATATTATTCGGTTGATGTATGTAATTAATTCTTGAAGGAGTGTGAATTAGATTTTCAGGTTTGAGATATAAGATTAATGGCATTGGTGAATTAAATTAACACAAATCGATTAGGTTCTAGAGGTTTCTGAACTTTGAGCGAATTGTGTGTTAATCGAATGCATGAGGGTTCTCATGTGAATGCTTAATTTGAATTGAGGTTTTATTTGAATTTAATGTTAATCACTAATTTGTTGGTTGATGCATCTTCTTAGAATCCGATGATAGAGTGGTCGTAGTTCTTCTAAATTCTTGGATTAGAGTTTTTAATTCTTGTTAACTTTTTATTCTAATTAGTGTTATTCTATAAATCAAACCCCCTCTAATTTTATAATCATATAATATTACCATCGTTAGGAGACGACTTGGATTGCACCTCTTAGTACATAATTTTTATGCAATTCAATTTTTATTAATTTGTCTGAGCGCGACACTCGCGATCAAATTTTGGTGTCACCACTACTCTCTCTTTCCCAAGCTATTTCTACCATCCCCATCTTCCACACCGCTAATGTATTGTTGAACCATTCATAGCATCATTACAACGGCATTTAGCATGCCCCATTCACACACATTTCAATCACAAGTAATGTTTATATTCTCGCACGACACTTAGGCCCACATTCATTCATAACACACAACACAAGTGCCTATATTCATTCATGTTACATTCAACGCACAACATTTTTAGCTTCCACACAACAATTTTCAGCATAATCTACATCAATCCCTCATCCAAATCTATTCATAATAGGGTCTAACATCATCGCAATCATACCCAACATGCATTATCTATCAAAACACACTAGTTCACATGTCCTATCTCAATCACATTACTAAAACACAACAAGTAAGTTAATTTTCAAACAAATTGAGATAGGGTAGAGTTCCCCCTTACCTCAATGAAGACCCTCACACCAAAACAACAAGGTAGGCCACACGAACTTTGACCTAAATACATGGAAGAACCCCACGAGAACCTAGGAAAATCGAGAAATCAAAGGATAGGGATGAGAAACCAAAACCCTAACCATAAAACTCACCTCCAAGCATTCTCTACACAAATCCAACCTTCAATCTAGCTCACGAACGACTTTGGAGGCAATTTAATCGGTAAGAATGACATAGGAATCTAGGGAAATGAGATTGTGTTCGAAGGAAAAAGTGGGAAATGATTTTCTCCAAACCCTAACCCTCAAATACCCCTCTAGTTGCGTCACTCTCGCTGCAGCGAAAAATTCAGACAAAACTGCACTCTGGTTTCTGTAAAATCTCACTACAGCGAGACCCTTTCGCTATAGTAAGACTGTACCCAGAAATGCACCCAAACTATGGCTTTGGCGCTACAGCAAGGGACCTCTCGCTACAGCGACAAGGCGACAATTTTATCCCTTTCTCCCAGTGCCTTCTCGTTATAGCAAGAATGACATAGTTTCATACCATACGCTCAAGGCCCTCTCGCTATAGCGAGAGTGCCCTATTTCAGCATCCATACTTAGCTTGTATACACACACACACACATAGATATATATATACACTTTAATAATTAAACAATATTACAAAATTCGGAGCGTTACAGACCCCACTTGCTATTCCTCTCAAGTTTACTTTCTCTCGTCCTTCTCTCCCCTCCTTCTTGTCCACCCCTCTCCTCCACCAAAACTTCTCCCGCCACCCCCACTTTTTGCTCCCCCTTTCCCCTATCTCAGTTCTTAGCCTCTCATTTTCAGCTTCTCTCACTCCAGTTCTTACTCCATCCCTGCTCTCATTTCCACTTTCACCTTCACCCTTAAGACTATGTTTGAATGTTATGTTTAAGAAGGGAGAAAAGGAGAAGGAAGGAGTTAGTGAGATTTAACCTTTATTTGAGAGTTAATTAATTAAGAAAGGAATGGTTATTGATTTTTCTAAATTCTCCAAAATTTTTTGCCTTTTTAGTTCTCTCTTTTGAATATTTTCCTCGCTCTCACTCTCTTGGTTTCTTCACAATTAGGATTCTTTTTTATTTCTTTTCAAAATATATAAGCTTTTAAATTGAAATTTTTTTTAAAAAATTATGAAAAGTAAAAATGTTAATTTTAATAATTTTAATATAAAATATGTTAGTTTTTAAATTAAAATTTTTTTAAAAAATTATAAAAAATAAAAATATTAATTTTTTAAAAGAAAAAATATTTAATTTTTTATATTTGTTAAAAAATAAAAAATATAAATAAAAGATATAAAGAATAATAATATTATTTATATGATTAAATCTGTTATTATATTTTTCTCTCGATATTAAACGCTTAAATAAAATAAGATTTTTTTTTCCCTTTCAAACATCTAAATAAAATATTAGTTTTAGCATGAGGTAGAGCGGATTCAAATTCCACTTGCACATGGTGATAGAAAAAAAGTATATCAAAATTTGAAAATATAACTAAACATACTAAAGTTAGAAATTAAATAGTTCATTATTTAAGTTATTTGATTAAAATGTGAAAATAAATAAAAGAATATAATTAGGTAAACGTACCTCAATGAACTAGATTGAAAAATATTAAATTTTTTTAGTAGAAAAAAAGAGGAGTTATTTATTATAGTTCAAGAAAGAACATAAAATGATATTGAAAAGTTTTTATATATTGATCTAATAATAAACTATTATATAATTATAATTAATTAACTTTTGTAGTCATTAAATATGGAAAGTGGTCAACATGCCCCATCCCAAGCCTGTCAAAGAGTGAGTCGTCAGAGTGAGAAACTAAAGAAACAACCCATCAAATAAAAAGAAAAAAAAAAAAAGCAAAGTAGGAAGGCAGGCGGACCAGCTTAAATATGACTTAAAATTGGAAAAAAAAAGAAAAATAATAAAAACTAATAAAATAAAATAATAAATTAATGATTAATATGAATAGTAATTAGTAATTAATTAAAAAATGAGTATATTTTAATTATTTCATTTTCTGCAAAAAAAAAAAAGAAGAAGGTAAAATAGGTTATTTTATTGGCTAACATTTTAACAAGTTATAGTGGAGGCCAAATCCAACACTCTAAGTAAGTTAATCGAGTTGGCTGTTAAACTAGGTCTATTTTACAACTCCTAATAATAATAAAAAATCAGACATATCACCTAATCTAATAAAATGACAGTGTGAAAAAGGTATCTATATCAATATAACATTAAAAATAAATTATATTTATTGTATGTAACATATTATTTATACTTATATATTATTTATTTTAATGACATATATATAATTAATTTAACAAAATTTTATTTATATGTTCATGCATTGTGGAGGTCTTAATCTAGTTTGTTTTTAAATTTTATGAAAGATGCACAGTATCCAATCAATCTGCACTTGACAGGGAAGGTTCTAACAATTCCAACCTCTTAGAGATCGAAACAGCACGAAGCAAAGCCACTCTCAAGTAGTTGTGTAACCATGTTGATTAATTTTCCCTCCCTTCTTAGTTCTTATACTGAACCATATTTACAAACATGGTGAACTTAACAACTTCGAAAACAATGATACACATAATTTTTAACTTCTCTACGTTTTAAATTTAAATTTAAAATCTTTTGGAAATAATTTGCAAATCCTCTTACCGAAATACCCATACCCATGTCAAACCCTGGATAGTTGCTAATTAATAACAACATATTTAAATCAATATCTTTTAATGAGTTTAAAAAACGAATCGATTTCCAAATATATTTAAATCCACTTATAATCTTTGGAGTAATTAAGTAAAAATATCAATATGGTTGTCCAAATCTTTGAGTAGTTTCCTAAGTCTATTAAATTATATATGCCAACGATATTACTCAACTTTGGTATTAAAGTTATACAAGAAATACCCATAATTTTTATCTGGCACATTGAAATTGTTTGCCTAATGGCCAAAATTAACATTTATATAATAATGAAACAAGTTGGTTCTTCACTCGTTTTCACACATGAATATTAAAATTTAAAACAGTGATTTGATTTTAACAGTAAAATACGTTGGAAAAGTGTCAACTATCTACAGTACTAGTCTCAATCTCGTCTAGCATTTAGCAATAGTTTTAAGCCCAGTTTAGATGATGAAATTATAAACTGATTCCTACGGGTTATTACATTTTTAGAAATGTTTTGACAAATTTATCATATCACTTCTTTAGAAATGTTTCTTGTTTCATATGTTTATTTTTAAACAAATTTATTAAGTTAAATGATATTTTTAGATAAGATAGCCCGTGTGCCGATCTAGAGTCAAGTCCCAAATCATGACAACAACAACCTAATAAAAAAATTACCAATTGTTAATGTTTTTAAACAGTTTCTCAAGTGTTATTTAGACAGAACTACAAAAATGTAAAAACAAAAATTCATGACGTGGAGAAAATGCAGAATATGAAAGTTCCTGTTTTTTTTCCTTTCCATTGAGTAGTTTTATTAATTTGTCTTTAAAAAACAATAGATATGTGTCTTCAAATTTAAGAAGGATACACAATAACTAATTAAACTGGACTTGACACTATGTTTTAACCACCAAGATTCTTAAAATACTAAAACTTTTTTCAATGTAAATTCTCATTAACAACTTTGTGATATCCTAATTAAACGAGATTTATTCATCAGTAACAATAGATATGTGGAGACTTGCTTATAAACGGAAGAATGTCATGAAATAAGTTGCTGCTATATACGCGCTTTCACATTTGAATATTAAAATTTAAAACAATGATTTGATTTTAACATTAAAATACGTTGGAAGAATATCAACTATCTACAGTACTAGTTTCAATCTCGTCTAGCATTTAACAATAATTTTAAGTTCTGACAACAAAACAGCTTCTGTATTCTATCTGAGACTTTCTAACAGAAAGAACAATACGAAAGAAGATATGGCCAAAAATATGGTGGCACGGGCTTTTATCTCTGGCTCTGTGAAGATCTTATTAGACTGGATAACCTCCAGTGATTTACGTGAATTCATGAGCTTGAGACAAAATTGTTAGCACTCAATGCTTTGCTCAATGATGCTGAGGAGAAGCAGATAACTGACCCTGCAGTGAAAAAATGGCTTGATAAGTTGAAGGATGTTGTCTTGGATGCAGAGGATGTGTTGGATGAAATCAACGCATACATCCTAAGGTGCAAGGTGGAGGGAGAGCCTCAAAACCTTACAACCCAGGTGAGATCATTCATTTCTTCTCGCTACTGGGGGCTGAATTCAAAGATTGAAAAATTATCTGAAAGCTTAGGACATTTTCTTAGCCAAAAAGATATTCTTGGCTTGCAAAGTGTCACTGGGAGACTTATTTACACAAAATATACAGATTCATTGGTTGAATCGGTTGTTGTTGCAAGAGAAGAAGATAAAAAGGAGCTATTGAAAATGCTTCAATCCAATGATGATACTATGCCTAACAACGTAGGAGTGATTACAATACTAGGCATGGGAGGTCTGGGCAAAACCACCCTTGCCCAACTCCTTTACAATGATAGTAAAGTGCAGAAAGAATTCGAATTGAAAGCTTGGGCTTGGGTATCAGACGATTTTGATGCTTTCAAGGTCACAAAGAAAATTGTTGAGTCTATCACAATGAAAGAATGTAATAGTACTAATCCAGATGTTGTTCGTGTTGAATTGAAAAACGACTTAAAAGATAAAAGATTTCTGCTTGTCCTTGATGACCTATGGAATGAGAATTACAATGATTGGCATCAACTAATTACTCCTTTTAGTAGTGCAAGAAAGGGAAGTAAGATCATTGTGACAACTCGACAAAGGAGAGTTGCACAGGTCACAAGTACCTTTCCCATTTATGAGTTGAAACCTCTAACAGATGCAGATTGCTGGTTGACACCGGCCAAACATGCATTTGGAAATGAGGGCTGTGACAAATATCCAAGCCTAGAAAAAATTGGTAGGAAAATTGCAAAAAAATGCAATGGCCTACCATTAGCTGCTAAGACTTTGGGAGGTCTTCTGCGATCAAATATTGATGAAAAGGAATGGAACGAAATTCTGGAAAGCAAGTTATGGGCACTTGATAAGATGTTTTGCCTATTGTTCAATTTTTCCGAAACAACAGTTGTTGGACAGAGAGGAGTTGATTTTGTTATGGATGGCTGAAGGCTTTTTACAACAGCAGCATGGTGAGAAAGAAATGGAATCTGTAGGTGCTGAATACTTCAATGAATTATTATTTAGATCCTTAATTGAGAAAGATAAAACTACTGCAGAAGAAAAGTTTAGAATGCACGACCTCATTTATGATTTAGCTAGACCGGTATCTGAAAAAAGTTCTTGCTACTTTGAAGGCGATGAAATCGCAGGATCTGTTCGCCATTTATCCTTTCTTCGTCAGAGGTTTGACATTTATAAGAAATTTGAGGGCTTGCATGAGCGAAACTGTTTGCGCACATTTCTACCACATGTCCAATTTCTAAACACTGATTATTACTTAAGCAAAACGGTGTCACATGATTGGTTGCCAAAACAGAGGTGTTTGAGAACACTGTCACTGTCTAATTACAAAAATATCGTTGAGCTACCTAAATCAGTCGGCAATTTGGTGCTTCTCCGATATCTTGACCTTTCCTATACTTCCATAAAAAATTTGCCGGATGAAATCTTCGAGCTTTACAACTTGCAGACTTTGAAACTATCAAATTGTAAATCTCTTATGGAGTTATCAAGACAAATAGGAAATTTGGTCAATTTACGCCACCTTGATATTAGTGACACAAATTTGGTGGAAATGCCAGCAGAAATATGCAGACTGCAAGATCTCCGTACATTGACTTCCTTCATTGTAGGCGAGGAAGATGGATTAAGGATCAGTGAATTAAGAAAATTTCCTTATTTGCAGGGTAAGCTTTCCATTTTGAAGCTGCACAATGTTGTTGATCCCATGGATGCATTTCAAGCCAATTTAAAGAATAAAGAGCAGATTGAGGAGCTTATGCTGGAGTGGGGCAGCGACCCACAAGATTCACAAGCTGAGAAAGATGTACTTGACAACCTGCAACCATCAACCATGTTGAAGAAACTGAGTATCAGATACTACAACGGCACAAGTTTCCCAAAATGGCTGGGTGATTCTTCATATTGCAATGTTAGAGTCCTGTGGATCAGTGACTGCAACTATTGCCTGTCACTTCCGCCATTTGGACAATTACCTTCTCTTAAAGAGCTTGTTGTTGAAAGGATGAAAATGGTGAAGACAGTTGGTCAGGAATTCTATTGCAGCAATGCAAGTTGTCCGTCCTTTCAGCCATTCCCATTGTTGGAAAGTCTCGAGTTTGAAGAGATGTCAGAGTGGGAGGAGTGGGTACCATTTGAAGGTAGTAACTTTCCTTTTCCTTGTCTGAAGAGTTTGTGTTTATCCAAATGTCCCTTGTTGAGAGGAAACTTGCCCAACGGCCTACCTTCGTTGAAAGAGGTTCGTATCAAAGAATGCAACCAATTCGATGGGTTCGTATCAATTGAAAAGTGTGACAGCTTGCAGTGTTTACCAAGAATGATACTCAATGCCAATTCTCTTCGACGCTTGAATCTTAGAAATATAAAGTCTTTGATTTCCCTCCCAGCTGATGGTTTGCCCACGTCAGTGGAAGCACTTCGCATTGATCTCAGCACTTTGGGGGATGAAGAAGTGGTAAACACTTTGCTGAGGGAGTCATCACTGCCCACTTCTCTCACGTATCTACGGCTGTGGAATTTTGATGGTTTAAAGCGGTTGGAAGGGAAAGGGCTTCAACATCTCACTTCTCTGAAAACGCTTTACATCTTCGAATGTGGAAGCCTCGAGTCATTGCCAGAGGATCAACTGCCATCGTCTCTTGAATTACTGTGTATAATCTCTTGTCCATTGCTAGAAGAAAGGTATGGAAATGAGAAAGGGAAACACTTCACAAAGATTGCTCACATTCCTGCCATTCAAATAAACGATCAAGTCATAATATGATTACAGGAGCGCCTCATCCAACGTAATATAAATAAAGGAATTTTTTTATTTTACACATTCTGAGCAGCGGGGCTGTGATGAAGTATTGTTTAGTGTAAATATTTCTATTATATTTTTTTATTAAAAAAACAAGTTACTATTTCATAATTAAAACATTATGTATATATATTAATTTTTTTTGTTATCTTTATTTTTTTAGTAGTCTTATTTTTTTCTCTATTTTGTTAATTTACTCTCCTGTCTCTTCCATCCATATGTATTTTATATTAAAAAATATATGACTTAAAATATTTTATATTTAAATATATATAAAAATATATTTTATTTTTTATATAATTATTTAACTAATTGATTATAAATAAAATAAGAAATAATTAATTTTAATATTATATCAATATAATATTATTTATCATTTAAATTAAATAATTTTTTTACAAACTCATTTACAATTTAATTCAATTAAATGAATTGTTAGTTTTACAAAATTCTAAAACTTTTTGTTATGACAAACTAGTGTTTATTGTTTATTTTTGAACTAATTTATTGATGATATTGTTTTGTTTTTTTTATCAATACAGTTGGTAAATTAGTTGGCGTATGTGTGTTTATTGATATATTCTAGCTGTGATGGTGCCTTCATAATACTCATTTCAGTCATGCTATTACATTGCATTCTTTCATTCAGAGAAGCTTTCATTTGAAGGAGCTAAACTCTTTCTATGTTATAAAGTTTAACAAAATCAATGATTTGTTTAGATTAATATCATGTATTGGGTTATAAATTTTTTTCAAGACTAGAATATAATGAATTATATTTATGATATATTTTTCGGTATCATCTAAACTTATATTTTGTATTGGAGTTTGGAGGTGTTTATTAGTGTTTTCATGTAATAAATTTTTGTTCGTATTTTTTTTCTTTTTTTTACTCCAAAGCTATTTTAATGTGTTAGATAAGATTAAAATTTTCGTGTATAATATAATAATATCTTTATGATTGCTTTTTACGTTTAAGGTCTAGTGTTGCTAATTCAACAGTAAGCTTAATTTGTTGTGTAAGTGGCGAAAAAATTTTATATGGTCTTTATAATGTATGCTGAGAAGGAAATAGATTAAAATTAGTTCTTGTAGACTAAAAGTCAATTTTTATTAAATTTTGTTATTTTAGATAATTATAATTAGCCATAAATAAAATTATTTTTCTGTTAGGAAAATTATAATATCAAATTATTTGTGGTTGAAAATTGTTGATGGCTCCACTAAATTTAAGTTGTACAGATATGTTAGAAAAAATTATGTATTTATCTATATTAGCTAATATGGCTTCAGTTATGACTAAACATAAATGATCCTTATAAAGATATCAAGTAATTATGATAAAGAAAGAAATATATCTTTTTATCATGAGTTTTCAAGATACTTAAAAAAAAGTTTTTAATTAAGTGCAACTGAAATAAAGATAATAATCGTTTAAAGAGTGTAAAGGTAAATGTTATAAATAAATGTAAAAAGACGGTCAATAAATATAAAAGACTAAAATTGTAAAGGAAATGGTTGCAAGTGAAAGTAAAATGCAAGAAGAAAAATGAAAAGTAAAGGTAAAGATAAGTTGTAATATGTTTGATTAATTGATTGTTTTGAAGTCCTTTACAATATGTGTAAACTCAACTTATATAATATGTACAAAAAGCAGTTATTTATCCTCAAAAATTGGTATCTATGTTCCTAACTTACTACTCTACGTGCATAAAGTGCTGAGTTACTTAATAACATCCTTTTGTGCCAAGTAACTATCTCATAAATATGTATTTTGACATGCTTTTATACCCTAAATATCTATGTGTGACTATTATTTTAATTGAGTTTTATACTAATTTATATATTAATTATCTAGTTTAGTATAAGAAAGTCACAATTGGGTTTTCAATACATTTTGGACTCAAATTGGTTGAAAAATAAGGCTTTGCAGCTGTCAGTACACCTATGACCTTGCAACTAGCACGACCATGCTTTGATTATATGCATGATCATGCATATTGCCCAGTATAATCGTGCTTGCCTTTGAGGTTAGGATTTTCAAACTCTATAAAAAATATCTCAGGGATAGCAGGCAACGACTTAGTATCCTATTTTTTTTCTCATTCTTTCTATGCCTTTTACACATCTCTTTTACATCCTCAATCTTGGTGTTAACAAGTTGATAACGACTATCGAAACTTTGAGAGCACATAAGATCTAGAACTTTACTCATCTTTTCTCCATTGGAAACTCCTCTAGTTTGTGTTTACTTTTAGATTACTATGGATTGGTTTATTGCTATTTTGATTTTCTTTCATATTATGTCTAGCTAAATTCATAGCCCTAAATTCTTTTCATGACTCTATGAAATTTTTATGATTTATGATAATTTCGTATTTCCATTTTTGATTGGTGTTTGTTAGAAAATCAATTATATCCCACGATTCTTGGTGTAAACACTGTATCATTCCATAATTAGAATAGCTTGATTGTAGGAGTATAATTGCAAAATTATAGGAGTAGAATTATCAATTATAGATATGTTCACCTGTATATATTGTGTATTTGTTCTCAAAAATATACATGGCAGAATATTCTCTTCCTTTTCCTTTATTTTACATGGTATCAGAGCGGTAACGATCTGCTCTTCCTTCCGCCATTTTTTTCTGATAATTTCTTTTGCTATGTCCGTTATGGCTAGCGAAGGGAATAAATCAGATTCCAACAATTCCTATTCTCTTCATCATTCTGACCATCTTGGACTGACTCTTGTTACCAAATCTCTTGATGGTGACAACTATTCAACCTGGCGTAGATCCATGGTGATCTCTTTGAATGCAAAATCCAAATTTTGTTTTGTTGATGGAACTCTTAAGGCACCATCGGCTGAAACTAAACCAGAAGAATATGCAAATTGAAAAAAATACAATGATATGGTATTATCATGGATTCTTAATTCTTTGACACCTGATATTGCAGACAGTGTTATTTTTTATGACACCGCTCATGAAGTTTGGGAAGATCTTCAAAATTGTTTTTCCCAGAGTAATGCGCCACGAATTTTTCAGATCAAGAGAGAAATTGCATGTCTCTGTCAAGCCCAAATGATTGTTGCTGCTTATTATACAAAGCTAAAAAAATTATGGGATGAGTTAGGATCCTATAATGATGTTGTTTGCACATGTGGAGCAGATAATAAAAGGCGCAAGTTGATGCAATTCCTTATGGGATTGAACGAATCTTATAATGCTATTCATGGTCAACTCCTTCTAATGAATCCATTACCTGATGTTTCGCAGCCTTATTCTTCAGTTATTCAAGAAGAAAAACAAAGAAATTTGGGAGCAAGATGTGAAAAAATAGAAGCCTCTGCCATGATTATTCAAAAAGACAAACTAGTAGCCCTTACTGTTCGACACAAGTATGGTTCTTCTTCTCGTCCTAATTCGTCTAATCACAAACCGTTGCATTGTTCTTATTATGACAGAGACCACTATACAAGAGACACATGTTGGAAGCTACATGGTTATCCAGCCGAATATCCCAAGCATTCAACAGCTAGAAACAATCATTTCAAAGCCAACGATAACCGACATTCTTCTGTTAATAATATCAGAGAGACTTCAACAACACAGCAAGTCCAGTCTCTTATGACAGGATTAACTGAATTACAGCTACAGCAAATTTTGTCTGTTATGCAGGGCAATAGGACAACTCAATTAGTTACCCCAAAGGCAAACAATGTCAATACCTCTTCAGGTTTGTTACCACCCGAACTGATCATCGATAGCGGTGCAACAGATCACATTACTTCTACTCCCACTTTGCTTGTCAACAATAAGGAGAACATTTCTTTACCACCAGTGGTTATGCCAAATGGAGATAAGGCTCCAATTATCTCCACTGGAAATTTACCTTTGAGTCCTGTTATTCATTTAAAAAATGTGCTTGGGGTGCCATCTTGCAAAGTAGATTTGATGTCTGTGAGTCGAATCACTAGATATTTAAATTGTTCTGTAACCTTCTTTCCTCATTCATGTATTTTGCAGGACTTGATGACGGGGATCACAATTGGTTTGGGTAAACAACGAGATGGACTCTATTACTTGTTACTATGGCAGCAAATAAGTCACCTCATCCTGTTCATTCTATCTACACCTTCCTCTCAAAACAATTCCACAATCCTATGGCATCGACGACTAGGACACTTATCCTCTTCTAGATTAGATTTCATGGCTAAGACTTTGTTACATTTCCCTTTGGAACCAAATAATAATTGTAATGTTTGTGCCCTTGCAAGACAAACAAGGCTTCCTTTTTTCAATAGTTGCATTTCTTCTGTTAAACCTTTCGAATTAATCCATTGTGATATTTGGGGACCTTTCAAAGTTTCTTCTCTTTCTGGTGCTAAATATTTTTTAACAGTTGTGGATGACTTTTCTCGTTTTACCTGGGTCTTTTTTATGCATCACAAAAATGAAGTGAGACATCTATTAACCAATTTCTTTTCCTTTGTGAAGACCCAATTCCATACTACTATAGCAAACATTCGGGTTGACAATGGCGGGGAATTTTTCTCTATGCAAGATTTTTTTAAACAGGAAGGTACTATTTACCAACATTCTTGCATTTACACCCCTCAACAGAATGGAGTGGTTGAGCGCAAACATTGGCATATCCTTGAGTCTGCTCGTGCTTTTCGTTTCCAAGCTCATCTTCCTATACACTTCTGGGCTGAATGTGTCTCCACTGCAGTTCATATAATTAATAGGTTGCCCACACCTATACTTTCTCAACAAACTCCATTTCAGAGACTTTATCGTAAAATTCCTTCTTATTCTCATCTTAGAGTTTTTGGATGCCTAGCTTATGCTACCAATATTCGCGTTTCTCATAAGTTTGCCCCTCGTGCTCTCCAATGTGTTTTCCTTGGTTATCATGTTGGCAAAAAGCTTATAAATTATATGATATTGACGCTAATC